GGGGGCTGGGCAGGGTCTGTTCCTTCTAATGGGGCAGCTATATCTCCAGCCAAGTCTATTTTCAATGCTACATGAAAATGTAGGCCCAGGGATAACAGACTGTCCCTTTTTTCTTCTTCAAGAGAAAGCTGAAAGCCAAAAATTGAGAATTCTAAGTGAAATATTTTGATTTTTCTCCCATGTTGAAAATGACTATTGGGTGGGCTAAACATGAAAGGGTGACAACCTCTGGACAAAATTTTCCCTATGAGCATGACCTAGAACAACTCCCAACAACCAGTGTTCAAATATAGCTCATACACAAACAATCTATTTGAGCCTGAATAGCCAAAAAAAATGCAGATTAAAAAAAAAAAACAAACACAAAGCTGGAGACATTATATTTCCTGATTGCAAACTACATTACAAAGCTATAATAATCAAAATAGCATAGTATTGGCATAAAAACCAACACTTAGATCCATGGAACAGAAGAGAGAGCCCAGAAATGAGCCCACATAGAGCAACTAACCTATGACAAAGGAGGCAAGAACATGCAAGGGGGTAAAGATAGCCTCTTCAATAAATATTGCTGGGAAAGCTGGATAACCGTGTGTAAAGGAATAAAACTAGACTCCTATCTTAAATCATACACAAAAGTCAACTTAGAATTAACTAAAGATTTGAATATAAGGCCTGTAAAGTTTCTAGAAGAAAACATAGCTCTTCGACATAGCTCTTGGCAATAATTTTTTGGATTTGGCACTAAAAGCAAAGGCAACAAAACCAAAACTAAACAAGTGGGACTAAATTAAACCAAAAAGCTTGTGCTCAGTAAAGGAAACCATCAATAAAATGAAAAGACAACCTACAGAATGGGAAAAAATATATGCAAACCACATATCTGATATGTAGTTAATATTCAAAATAAGTAAGGAATGCATAGCAAGGAATTCAATAGCAAAACCCCCACATAACCCAATTTTTTAAAAAATGGGCAAAGAACCTAATAGATGTTTTCTGGAGAAAACATACAAATGGCCAACAAGGATATAAAAAGATGCTCAATATTACTAATTGTCAGGAAAATGCAAATCAAAACCACAATGAGATACCACTGCACACCTGCTAGGATGGCTACTATTAAAAAGGCAAGTGATAATAAATGCTGGCAAGGATGTGGAGAAAAGAGAACTCTTGTGCACTGCTGGAGAGAATGGAAACTGGTACAGCCACAGTGGAAAACAGTAAGGAGGTTTCTCAAGAAATTAAAAATAGAACTACTGTACGATCCAGCAATCCCACTTCTGGATGTATACCCAAAGGAAAGAAAA